ACCAAAGCTAAGAGTATAAAAGAGAAAAATATTACGTATTCAAGTGAAGTCTACTCAATTAGAGTATAAAAATTTTCTGTCACACAATAGAGTGGAAAAATTTCGAGGATAAGATTACTTAGGTTATTTTTGGCTTGGAACGTTCTGCGAGGTCCAGGTTAGATAAAAAACAAAGCAATGCTTGGAAAATATATACAGACGAAATGAAAGAGGGTTCTCAATAGTATGGAATAAGTATATAGGTGTAGATGAGGAAATAGAAAATTTAAAAATTAAATTAAACAACACAGAATTAAACAGAAGCTAAAAAATATTTGTCATTAGGGAATCGGTCATCACAGTAAATATCAGGTGATGAAAGCGACGGTATGTTTGGAAACGAATTGTGTTTTATAGCAAAAGTGCGCAATCTATAGGGATTATTCGGGCGGTCATATATATAATGATGGAAATAAGTGCAATTTGGGGTAATTGGGTGTCATACTGTTGGAAAATTTGGCGTAATTGGGTGTCATACTGGGGGAAAATTTGAGGTAATTGGGTGTCGTACTGAGGGAAAATGTGTTGTACTCACAACGCAGTTAGCTGGCTGAACACGTCATAGAAAAATTAAGAAAGTTTAATGTTAAAGTTACGTAAACTGTTGATTTATTATAGAAATTACGCGTCCAAGTCAACATTGACACTCACCAAATCTGAATTTGGTGCCAAATCTGACATGGTGAGAATCAACTTTTTTTAACTTGTTAAAATAGCGAATGTTTTTTTTTTGTTGTTTTCCGATAGCTAATGTTTAAGCTTGCATTTGTTTAAAGCTTCAGGAAGATAACGTGAATTCAAGATCCTATGAATGGATAATCGATATTGGTCGCAATCAAGGTTAAGGTTAATAAGGTTAATATCAAGGCTGTCTTTTCGTGCATGGTATGAGTTAATGTATCCACGTTGGTCAGTCGACTCCATGAACTTAATATTTTTCCTGCCAATAACTTCAAATGTAGGCTTTTAATACGTAGAAGATTAATATTCGTCTAAAATTTCCCTAGTCATTTTTCATGATCATTGTTATGCCATCTCCTTAGTCTAATATTTCTTTGGTTCAATTTGTGAATATCATTGTTCGTCGTTGTGTTCTTAAATTATTTTGTATTTAATTTGTTTCAAATATTGAGACAGCATGTTTCTTTCGGTTATTGGTAGCGTAAACTAGACATTGGATAGTTTTAATTTCTTATTATTGTGTGGTGCCAGCGACTGTGCAGTGTACCGAGAGTATCATGTTTGGTGATGGTGTTGCAGCTGCTGCCAAAATAAAGGATCTCTACGTGATCTGCATCAGTCATTTATTTCCTCTCCTCCTCTGCCGGTCCGTGCATTAAAAAAGTTTCTGCTGCTTGTCTTTCTAAACATTACACGTGAAATTTGCGTCACTATTTCTTTTTTGTCCTAGACAAGCGTCTGTTCCACTTACCCCATGAAATTTGCATTTCTTTACCTGATAACTAAAAGAGTTGCAAATTTTTCTTCTCCCACTGGCAATGCTTGTTACGAGGAAATTCTTGAAGCTTGATAAATAATAAATTTTACGCTGAAGATTCTGTGTCAGAAGTCTCGGATTTTTAAGATTTTTAGATTAGAAAATTGACATTGTGTAATTATTACACCATAACTGAACGACCACACAAGTTCTGTACTTGCAAGGGACCGCTGGTCTGAATCACCAGTAACCTACTTCCTACTCTGTGTGTAGGCCTTGAATCGAAACCTTGAAACCTCCCACTCTAGTTCAGGGGCCATATTTTCAAAACTCGCTAAGTGAAGATAAGTACTTACGCTCTATTTTCTTGTCAATGATTGGTGGATTTTGCTTGAAAGGCCGTCAATGATTGGCGGATGAACTTACGATCTCTTGACTTTTTTGAAAGTATAGGCCCAGGAGTGTTGCTGATTACCTTCTAGACAGATATGACTAACAGCTCAGTTCGCCACGAGTCTGCTTTTGACAGTTCTTGAGATCGCTGCTCAGTGCTCAGCTTCCAGAAGATAACAACTGCTCGCCTAAAATTTGCTGGCTGATGGCCCTACGGAAGGGATCGGCGCTACTTGTTTGCCGAAATCGAGCGAAAACTTTTCTAATATGAACTTTCTATCTCGCTCAGTCTAGAATCTCCGTATGACAACCAATTTTTGGAAGCTCTTCTATGACAACTTCATTTCTACTTGGAAGACGGGCTCGATGTTCGTTCTCTTGCCGCATCTGTGCAAACCCTCCAGTGATGTTCAATCAAGAAGAGATGACATAATTTTCCCCGAAGATGTGTTTGCGTTGCTTTTATGAACGTTCTTTGCATATATCTTTGATGATAGATTTTCTGCGACTTTGTTAGCCCTGAGGAGATCGCGTTTCCAATGTTTGTGCGATTGATAAAAATAATCCTGCGGTCGTTTGTCTGCGGCTTGAGAGGCTTAGTGCGTCTCAGTTTTCTTCTTGCCATGTAAAGGGATTGACTTCAGAAGTAAGACTTACTTGACGCCTGTTTCTCTCACGAGGTAAATTGTTTGCTATTGCACTGAGGTCAATTTTTTGCCATTGCACGACAAAACTCATACATATGATTATTTAGACTAGCTATTTACCTGCTTGAAATATATCACTTCTAATTAATATTTTAATATGTGCATTCTTTAGGGTTAATGATCATCTTTGACTCCTAAAATCATTATTTTCCATCTTTGTAAACGTGGCATATATTATTTTTACATCTAAGTATCAGCGTACTAGCTCCCTGTTTTTTTCCAAGTGATGCTCCTAGCAAAGCTGTGTTTACAGTCTGACGTAAGATGAGACAGTACTAAAAACTTAATAGCAAAGAAAACTCCACAAAAATTCATAGTATCTTTAAAGAAAACGTTTCGGAGTCCAGCTGGACTCCGAAACGTTTTCTTTAAAGATACTATGAATTTTTGTGAAGTTTTCTTTGCTTTTAAGTTTTTAGTGAATTTGTGATTCAAGCAAACGAGTGATATTATTACTTATGAGACAGTACGAGACAGCTAACGTCTTTTTCCCAAGGCACAGATCGAAGTGGCCGAGTTTGGATTCGAGCGTCTGGTAGCAATTATTCCCTTCATCGGAGGCTTGTGATCTTTCTTTGCTGGATAATCTCGAAACTTTGCCAGTTGGCGGCGAAAGTTTTCTCATAAGTTGTCTCTCTGTAACGAATGAGGCGACCACTCCCTTCGCGTCCTTCTCGAACTCCGCGTCCTTTAATGTTGCGAGCATTTTTCTGGGAATCTTACGTCGACTACCAGACTGATCATGATGGCTCCTTGCAAACTCTCAGACCTGGGCCTATACTTTCAAAAAGAGTTAAGAGATCGTAAGTTCATCAGCCAATCATTGACGGCTTTTCAAGCAAAATCCACCAATCATAGAAAAGAAAATAGAGCGTAAGTACTTACGTTCACTTAGCGAATTTTGAAAGTATAGGCCCTGATGAACGGTTTCCTTTGTGAGCGACGATGATGCGGCGACTGACAGCTGAGATAACGTATCATGCAGTTATCTCCCTAGCTTGTGGATAAACTAAAGTCATAGAAATTTCGTTCAGGTCGCTTTCAGAATAATGTTTATGATGGAGATCATTTAGAACTGTTTTTATCAATTTTGCTTATGCGTTCTAATTTGATTTATTTACGTTTTTCGGGTGATAGACGTATTGATGATGAAAAACTATTCGATGTAATACATGGTACAATGCGTAGAAAAAAAGATCACTCATACGAAATAGCTTACGGCACATAGACCATTGAACCGTACAAAGCGGAAACGTTCATTTGCATTCTAATAGCTTCATGATATTATTTCGTTGGTGTTTGTACATCTCATATCCTTTTAGTGTTATAGCATATTCTTGTGGACTGCGTGCCCCCACAGATAACGTAGCCTTCTTTACTAATTTTTCCTGCCGAGAACGCTGCTGCTGCTGATAAAATACCGAGATCGCTTATCTCGAATGAAGTTCATATTTCATCTTTACTCATCACAGTTTTCCATCGCTGAAGGGCATTTTCCCGTCTCAATTTATTTAAGGAAGTTCTTACTGTAGTATTTTGCCTTGTGTCGCACACATTTTTGTTTTTATGTTATCGATGTTCAAGTTTTTTGTAATGCATTTGCTTAATTTCAACAAATTGTATGGCTATAAGAGTAATATTAGTCTTGTCAATAACAAAGAGTCTAAGTGTACACCGGAAATTCATGCACTTCCAGAAAACCCTTCATTCTCTCAACGCGGCACGCGCTTTCCCATGAATTCGAACGTATGTCAGTGGCTGGCTCCCTCACGGCGTGTAATTCAATTTCGATTTCATGTTTTTTTTCCAAATATCGTCCATTGATTTTCCCCTGTTGCTGCACTAATTTCCGTGCGCAGTTCTGCTAGAGTGCTTCGACCTCATAATTGTATTATTTTCTGGACCCCTTTCAGGCCATTAGGTCTTTGAAGTTAGGCTATACTCAAATAGCACTCGTATAGCGGATAAAGTTCTTCTAATATAGTGAAATGTACCAGCAGCCGGTTCTCAAACGTGCTAAAAAATTTACTTTGCCTTGTATTTTTGCCTTAAAACTGTGAATATTGAGTGTTGTGTCTATATGTATGGGGTGGCAAAAAGGGGGTAAAAAAGTACTCCAATATAAATTTGTTCCAGGGTATTTCCGGATTTGTCATCCTTGTGCTCCAGCATAGTTGAATTATTTACTCATGTAACCCATAGCAATGTCGTTTTCTGTCATTTGATTCTTACCGCAGTTAATAGTCCGTAATTCTGCAGATAATAAACTGGTGTCTCGTCATCGTGAGATTGTTGGTAAGGGTATGTTTTGGCCTAGTGAACAGGCAGATAATAAACGGGCATCTCGTCATCGTGAGATTGTTAAAGTTTTGTGTATGTTTTGGCCTAGTGAACAGGCGATCCTAGGTGAGGACCATCGCGTCATGAGTCTCTCCATTAAGCTCATCCTTGCTGAATGGCTCGCTCATCACTCCTGCGACCGCTTCGCTCTGGTAAGCTTTTGAAGCTGCAGCCCTCGAGTTACTTTGATGAGTCTCGGCAGCCGTGAACATCGCCGTCTTCTTCAACGATAGCGTGGCATTTACCGAGACATTCATTGATGTATGGACTTCATGGTGCTGGAAAGAGAAACCACTCACTGAATTTCTGGATGCGCGTGTGGGAGATCCAGTCGACATTCATTGATGTATGGACTTTCATGGTGCTGGAAAGCGAAACCACTCACTGGATTTCTGGATGCGCGTGTGGGAGATCCAGTGGGTGCTCCTGACAGCCCCTATTCATTTGTTCTGTCTTCTCTCTCACATCCACGGGCTCTTTGATCATTGCGCTATTGAATCTAACCCTCTTCCTGAATGTGTTCTAATTCAGCTAATTCGGCCCGTCTAAATTATCGTTGAGTGAGCTCTTGAAAATTTTGATTCCAGTGTTATATCATCCTAGTACGGTATTGATCCTAAATGTAATCATCATGTTAGGCACTCATTATAAAATTAAATCGGTCATTTGAATTTTAAATCCTTCCGTCTCTTATTTTTATGGATGACAAATTGAACGGATTCTTGAGTCAGCTTTGGGAATAATTCGTCCCGATCAACGATGGGCTCGACTGTATTCCATATAACCGGTTCGAATATTTGTAATAGTTTGAAAATATAACTATATAACTTTTATAACTTGAAAATATAACTTAATATAATTACTGTGTTTATGCCGCATTTTAAAATACGCGAGTGAACAATTTTTGCAATTTTTCTCCACTGTGCGCGGTGAGATTATCGTTGCTGTTGTGCGATTTCCTTTTAACGAAAAACGGCGATCGATGACCGCGCATCAGCTACTGAACAGCAATAATTTGCAGAAAACTTGTCTACTTAAAATATATTTATGAGGTCTAATCAAGCGTCTATGCTAGGCTATGTTGGCAACTCTCGTAGCAACACTATCGCAATGCTTGTGCTAGCAAGCACAGCTGTAATATGTATTGTTCAAGGCACGAAATGAACTTCATCAAATTTTGTTACCCAGTGAAAATTTACGGACGTGGCAGCTTCTGACTTGGATTACCAGAAGCTGGGGCGACTCTGAATTTTGTTACCCAGTGAAAATTTACGGACGTGGCAGCTTCTGACTTGGATTACTAGAAGCTGGGGCGACTCTAAATTTTGTTATGTCTCTTCCGTGCCTAGTGAGGGACGGGAAGTGATATCAAGTGAATGTACACTACGGGGTTATATTTTCATTGTTGTAGGCTATCATGTTTATGAATCGAGATCAGACAAATATGCTTTGAGTATATTTCTTAACCTGCCCTGTGAGCAAGATCGTATATAAGATTTTGAAGCATAAATGTAATTCTCAACTGATAACTGATTTATTGTGTTTTCTGAATCCTAGTTGCACAAGTTGGTCCTGGATAATTTTATTTCTTTGCGGTATATAGTTGAATTATAATTTTAATACAGCTGCTTATGAATTGCAATTGGTTTCAGTTTCCTACTGTGACGAAGTAAGCAAAATTGTTGTGTATAAAAAGTGACTGCGGTATTTTCAATTTTGGGGGCTGACATTCGAGTGTGGATAGGTTCTTACCGTAAAAATTTGTATTACCACGAATTCATTGAGAATATTAAGTTTGATGAAATTAAATAACTTGGTTTGGTATCTAAACCATTTGAAAACCTTTTCATTTGTCTGATGTGTTTTATTCCATTTGTCTGATGTGTTTTTCACTATTGCAGGTAAGCTCAATGCTCAGGGAGACCGACTACAGAGTTGAAGCAGCGATTGTAAGTTACCGCTTCTTTGTTCTAGTTATCATCGACTTGACCTTCGACTAAGTGCCTTCAATTTAGTCCGTACTTGTTCTGATTTAGTATCCATAAAGATCATTTCACCGTTGATTTTTTTTTACGCGTACACTTCGTCTCGCTTTTACCATTTTGTAAGATTGTAGAGCTCTTGTGTGTTTATAGTGATTCAGTAAGTTGATGACGTCAGCAGAACCTTTCATCACCGTTACTTCTCAATTTTTCATATTTGATCATCACTTTATTGAATATATGGATGGGGAATTGAAGCGCTTAATGGGGCATTATTATGCTTTTTCCCCTAAGTTCGTCTTGTTTGCGTTGCTGTCACATTGAATCATGACGCTTGATTTTACAATATTATAATACAAATAATACAAAGTTAGCGCAGCACGCGATCATCTTGGGCTGGACAGGTGCCTTCACGCACACTTTTTCTTACGCAGTCTCAGGTCAAATATTATTCCATCATTTGTGCTAAGTGTATAATATATATTTTTACTGGCTGTTTATTTTAGCATGCAAGAGATGCTGCTTGGCACGGGCGCGACGTGTTTTATTGGCATGAGGGGCGATAATTTGTCTTCTTTTTGGAAAAATTCAGTTTTTTTGGCTGTCGCCGCAACGACTGGCGGTCTCCTGGACATCGCTCGTTTCAGTATTCTAGCGTGTCGCTCCTGCGCTAATTATTTAATCTCTTTAAGACCGCCTCTTGGGCCGCCTGCTGCAGCTGATGGTGCTGCAGCTTCTATTCATGTTGCTGTGTTTGCTTCAAGTATTGGGTTCTCGAGCTCTAACGCTGTTCCTGATTATTGTTATATCAGCGTTTGCTGGTACAGTGTCATTTTTTTGTACTAGTTGTATTTTATTCTGAGAATCAAGCATGATAGATGATTTTTCTTAATGGCTGGTGAGCAAAAAATGGCTTGAGGCGCGGCCGATCTAAAAGCGAGGAGTGATGGAGAGATGGACACAGCGCTGACGAATCGATGTCGTCGCAGAGAAGAATTCCTTATTAATTGCGCCTTTGAACGCCCTGGGGTTTCCTTTTTTTGTGCTGAACGAGTTTGCTTCTTTGTATGCGCGATTCTTGAATGATTCTTGCCTATGGTTGCGTCAAAGTTCAAATAATAAAAAGCGTTATAGTTGTATATTGTGTGTATACGAGTCATTCAATTGCGTATTGCGCGTCATTCAATTGCGCATATTCAATTGTTTTAGCCTGACACTAAAAGCAACAACACAAGAAATGTACGTCCGTGATTGGGAAGTTAATAGCAGCCGTACGACCGATGCAGTAACGGTCGAGTGTCATGTGCGACCGTATTGAAACGTTCGCTATGTGAATGCACTGGATTTTTGACTTGTCTTCCAGGAACTCAAGGGGTTTGAGGCGACGGTACGGGACGAGCACGAGTCGGTCGAAGAGTTACTACTTCTCTGCGTGTCCTATTGCCTTGGAAAGTAAGCGGCCGCCCTAAACTTCGTCGGCGAATTGCGTTCACCACGCCTCAATTCGCATGATGCTCCGACATTCATTCGCCATATTTCAAGTAGATTTATAGTACATGGTAGAATGTAGCACTGCTTTCATATACGGAGCACTAGAACTTTTAAGTTTAAACACCTGCAATTTCGACCCATATCATTATAAATGCAATAGGGGATGCGGGAATTTCTTTCTGCAGTTATGCCATTGATTCGAATGGCATTCGCGGTCTTATAATTTCAGCCAGAGTTCTTTGTGCAACGTGTTTCGCTAACGGCAAGTACTGTGCGCGTTCCATTCTTAGCACTTGCCGCTGCGCGTAGGAGGAAATGATATGGCAATCGACGCTTCACTGTGTAGGCTTCATGTGAAATGCTCACGAGATTGTGAATTCACAGCGATCCAGCTGTCATCTCTTTTCTGACGTAATGAATATCTCGTCTGTACTATACTTGGTGAGCATCCGCATTGCCAAAGTGTCGAAACATACTAGGCAATAACGTATCTAGAAAGGTATAAAGAACTACATATGAATGAGATGCATTTTTTATTTTAAGTGTTGTATAGATTGTGAACTGCTAGGATTTTTGGTAGCTGCAGCTCGACATGAATAGCGCAAGTTTACTGAATTTTCTGTAAAAGGCTTCGGGTGCTTTTTATTCATTCCACGTAGTTGAACATTGTCCAGTAAACCTTATCTACGCTTGAAACTATAATTTCCAACGTGCGAACGAGCAACAGATCGTAGGCAGACAGGAACGTTGCAGCAGGGCAGGGGCAAACTGATGGTGCCTCTGTAATTGAATTGTACGGAAATAGAACTGCATGACCAGCAGTGTGCGTGCGCGCCTCCTGCACTTGGTCTTCACATTGATTTGTGCCTATGTTACTGGTCCTGCGTCATGAGCCTCTCCTCGCTCCCTCCTCATTACCCACACTCTCAACTGATGGGCTTGTCCTGCACAGCCAATAACTGGGACTACAACTCAAAATCGTCTGAGGCTACCTTAAACAGTCCTTTACGACAGTAACGTTTTTAACGTTTTTTGCAAATTTTGACTCGACAGTGTCGGGTTTTTTTGAAAAGGAAACATGTTTCGGTTGACGGTTTGTATAAGTTTCCCCAGCCTTGTGTTGCTCGTGTGTAGGCTCTGATCTGCTCCCTCCTCGCCTCCTCTGCCTCTCCGCTCTGGCAGCCAGTCGAGAGCTCATCGGCCATTCGGATGTCCGTGGCACGCTTCAGTAACCTGACATTTATTAAAAAATGTCTCTGGGCTGGCCGACTCGCTAGGGGGCTTCTTGCTAGAGCCGAGTCCGCGTCCGCAGCCGCGTTACGACTTCGAGTTGTGGATTCTAGGCACTTTTACTTGTACATTGGTCCCGGTTTATTTGATTGTTGTTGCAATTGCTTACTCTTTTCTCGTAGCACCAGCATACTCGTAGTACTATCATTCATGGCATTAAGAAGCTACGCTCCATTTGCTGATTAAAGCCGCTGTTATAAGAGGAAATAGACATCACTATAAAACTTGCTGTAATAATTGGTTATAAATTTTACTTAGGTATCTGATACAAAACTAGTTGATAATTGGAGCTTGGAGTTTTCTGCACATTTATGGAGTTGGCACCGTTCGAGAAATGTTATCTTGAATATGACTGATTCAATTGTTAGCATGTTTTTTTTCTCTGAGCATCCTGTTCAGTTGAGTATAATTTTTCAATCGAGTCTCAGTTAATGATCGCCAATCGTCAAAAATTTATGGTGCATTTGGCCCTTTGCTTTGACAGGCCCTAATTATGCTCCAGTCTTGGCTTTTGGTTGGCGTTATAGGTTCATGTATAAGCTTTTGGGGCTGGGCTCGTGCTGCTTTAATGGACTGGCGCGAGTGCCAGAGTAGCACACGCTGTGCGTGTGCTACTTAATTTTAATAAATTTACATTTTAATGTGCTACCGAATATTAATGAGGGTGGAACCACGCACTCGATGGCTTGTATTTTGCTTTGTTTCTGCTGTGGAGAATCATTGTTAATTGTGTATTGCTTGTTGTTCATTCGAGGCCTTGCCGCTCGGCTTGTTATTGTCACACTCTATTGAAGATTTATTGCATCCTGGATACTAATGATGATGTTAGGCGGGGTCACGATTTACGGTTGCATTTAGTGCATTTGCCACGTTTTGCTTTCGTTAATAATATTTATCTAAGGTTAAATTGAAAGTTGTGTTTCCCATATGTGTTCAAAAAATGTTACACACAAATTGAATATGCTTTTTCGTGCTGCAACTTGTATTTGCATATCTTTGAATTGAGTTGGCTTCAAGTAGTTGACCTGATATTTCATAACAGTTCTGACTGTGCGTGTTAACTGCCTATACTCACTTCACATACTCGCCTGACGTGATGTGCGTGACAGCTAACAATTTGGTTTTATGCTTGCGTATAAATACTGTTCAAGTCGGGGCTATTAGTGCGCTCTGTTCACTATCACGGCAATCGCTACTGCATCGCATGCAGTCCAGGACCTATACTTTCAAAAAGTTAAGAGATCGTAAGTTCATCAGCCAATCATTGACTGCCTTACAAGCAAAATCCCCCAATCATAGACAAGAAAATAGAGCGTAAGTACTTACGTTCACTTAGCGAATTTTGAAAGTATGGGCCCAGCAGTACTGTGATTTGCTGAGTTTCCTGGTCAAGAGATAAATCCAAGCTCCCAGTCCGACTCCGTGATGATATCTCAAGTATGTTTTTGTGGTCTTTTTTGTGATAGAAGTTGGCTTTGTTGAGACCTCGGCTTTTTTAAATGCCGTGCCGTAATTTGCATCCAATTAATTTGAATTTTTGTTGATATATTACAAATTACACTTATATTTCTTCCCCAAAGCGAGTATTTCTAAACTAAATTCCTTTATTACTCTAGTTTTGCTTATATATTATTGGACATAACATGGAGGGAAAAGCGTTACAGCCCAAGACTCAAGCTCGCCGCTCATGCATGCATCTACATCGCCGATGAGCCGCGGTGATCGACCGAGTTTTGCGGCTAGTCTGAGAGCTCCATATAATTCCAAGTTGAGGACGTATAAGAAACTGGCGAACGCCGCAAACGCGCACCATATGGCCCAGGGGCTTGCATCCCACAAGGCTTGGCCTAATAGAAAAGCCAGAGCTTCGTATCGGCTGCCTCATAAACATCGAGTCGCAAGATTTTTACGTGGCCTCAGTTTTTGCTGCGCTCGCAGCCAAAAAGCCTATGTTTATCTTTGCAGAGGATTTATGAGTTGGATTTCCTGAGATACTTTCCGCTGCGAGAACTTTCGGTAATGGTACTGTCATTAGAGGAAAAACAAAGTTGATTGTTGCACAGCACGCATAATTTATTCCCATGTTTTCTTATGACCTAATGAGATGGTCTTAAAAAATGTACAGTGAGCCTAGAAGAAATAAAAGTCCTCAGATTGTCGTTTTTGTACTCTGATTGCCACATAATTCACGCCACTTCTTCCATCCGAGAAAAACTAACGCTAAACGGTTTCTCTGATGGGCTGGTTATCTGTCTTTTACAGCATTAAATATTATACGCATGAGCTCTTAGTTTCACGGTGCTATATTAACTATCAAAATGCAGGCTTCGAGAATTGTTTTTCAAATCACCAGCCCTGAGTATTGAATAATTATTTTCAATAATTTATCGCAATTGCATTCAAACATAATTTTAACGATAACGCATATCAACCAACTGCATGCATACTGAAAGTCTGAAATCTCTACATCGTTCGCACAATGTTCCAACTAATATTTCGCTGTCTCAAGTTTAACAAATAATTCCTCCATACTTGCGTCTACCGTACAGATATACTTCTCACTGGCATCCGCATCACAAACTTCTCAAATATCACATTCCATGCCCTAATCCCAGAATGAAGATTTACTGCTTTATTTTTACGCCACTGCAATGAATTAGTGAATTTCAATGATCCCCATTCAAATATTGATTTTTTTTCCCAACTGATGTTCTTGTAAAATCAGGTGCGTATCAAAATTGTCCAGATTATTTGATAATAAAATTTGTACTAGATTTCTCCTGCGTTTCATGGTATTCCATCGTATTCATGAAATAATTTTTTCACAGGTCTGAATTTATATGATTTTATATGAATTTATTTTTTTTTTTCACAGGTCTGAGCTTCATAGTTTTGAATGGCTATCACATATTTATTGTTGCCCACTGTATTATCATTTAACTCCGACATTTTTAGCCATTCCTACGTTTTTTTCTTTCAATTTTTCACGTGTTATTCCGCGCACGTTGCTCCCAAGTCCGTCCGGCCGGCGCCGTTTCCGGCCTGAGGCTGCTGGGACCCCGGCGCGTAGCAGTGCTACGGCCCGTAGAGTTGCTACGCGCCCTCGGTAACTCCCGCATCAGCCAAGACTGGCGCAGTTTTAAACCTTGCTTCTCCGGCCTCCGTGGCAAACAATACTGAACTAGAAATTCTTGTTGCCGTTACGATCACTTCGTTTTTTTTATTGCGTTTTTTATATAAATGTGACAAATTGCGAGAGTTTACGAACGTTTTCTCGCGCATCCGTACTTTCCTATTCATTCGCCATCCGTTATTTTGCAGCATATACTGTATTAAAAAATGCGTTTTTTTTATTCTGATGAAGCCTCTGGATGGCAGATTTTTTGGGCTTCTTATCGTGTCTTTGTCTATTTAAATAATAATGTTACATTATATTTCTTGATTATTGTAACAAAAGATGCCATGTAGCCTGTAGACAGAAGTAAAAAAATATAACTCAATACTCACTGCACTGAGTGACAGAGAGCGCATTTTCTCGTCGACGAAAACGTGAAGTCACGAATGGACAGACAAACAGACGGACAGACAGACAGACAGACAGACAGACAGACGGACGGACAGACGGACATGGCGAGCACAATAGTGCATTTTTTCCATAAATGAGAAAATGCGCTAAAAACAGGCACTGGCACTGCAGCAACGCCAGCGCTGCTGCTCCTCTTCCCGTACGTCCCCATCCACCTCTCCCTGCCGTTATTGATCCAAAACTGCCCCCTCCATCCCGCTTTATCTCCATATCTGCCGCCCCGTGGCCCCCTCCTTCTCTGTCTCTGTGACAGATTCTCCCCTTCCATGTTGCACTTTTCACTGATGTTTGTCAGAGCCTTCGTTGTGAGTCGCAGTTGTTTCGTTGTCTCTTATTGGTTAATATTTTCACAATTGCTCACATAAATATACATTTTTGTAATCATATTTATTTACTTATTTATTTCGAAAAAATAGGCATTATATTAAGTGCAAAATAACAGAGTCTGCTCACACATCATAGAAAGTTAATAGAATTAATAAAAGTTGCTGCTATTGTTTTTACAATTAATAAATACATTACTATGGACTCTGTGCCTCTCCACTACGAAATATTTCCTAAAATAGATTAAAAAGTTGATAAACCCAATTTACGGTGATGCACGTATTTGTTTCTAGAATCTAATGAATAATGTAAGTTATTGGCAATGTTGTTGCTGCGGGAGATGTTTCTCAATTAATTAAATAACTTAATTCTCTTAATAATTATTTAATTATGCATTTTTCTTGTGTATTGTAGATTTTTCTTACAAGATATACACAGAAAATAATTCAAGAGGGTGATCTGCCCCTCAAAAGCTCTTGGTTCCAAAGGCCTAATAACTGTCACAAAATCTCCAATTCAAGTGTTTCTTGCTAGAAAATTACCGATTTACACAGAATGATATGAGCTAAGTATCTCGCGGCACAAAATCTTAAGAAACATTAATCAAATTTTGTAATTTCATGAAATACCTGAGTTTTCTGTTGCTTCATCTCGTTCCCGTAAAATCCCAATGCTTGCAAATTAACCACTAGCTCCCCACGCAGGAGAGGCATTTATCGCGCTCTGATTTACTCGACAATATTTGCCACTAGAATTGTGATGTTCATTTTATCGTAATTGAATATTTATTTCTGGATATTGTTTCGTATAACGGTTGCCTGGAGGCTCTTTTTCAATTAAACATTATACTAAAAAGTCTCGGTCGTGACATGCTCAAATTGTTCAGACTACTTGGTTATAGCCGTGCGGCAAGGAACGGTATTTTCCGGGAACGGACAACCTGTCTAATCAAGTGGAGATCGTCTCACAAGTTGTACCATAATTAATAATATCTGTTCGGTTAGCTCCCTCACCGATTGCGCGTTAGA